GAAGCCTCAGATCTATACCGTCAGCAACGACATGGGCTCCACGGCCCTAGCCCCATGAGTGAAGTTGTAGATAACCACGCTCTAGAGCTAAATCCCTTCAACCTTACAGAGGCCGTCAGCAGGTCTAGAGACGGTGCGAGGGCTAGTGCGGCCCGGTCAAGAGACTATAGGAGGTGCCGTCAGGGACCTGTGGAGAGGGATGTTAGAAGACGTCAAGGGAACGAGTCAGAGTAGTATATCCCAATAACCGGTCTTCTCTTGCATATTCTCTTCTTCTTGTTCTTGGGATGAACATGATCTCTTTCTCATTGTATATTTCATTATCCTACTCGTTCCAGTAACCACCACCAGGCAATTGTTGAATTTCCTGTGTATTTCTCACCTTACTTGTTCATAACTCTTTAACTAAGTATTAACGAATTTCTTTAGCCCATTATATTTACCATTTCTTTTGATGTATGACTGCTACAGTAATAAGTCTCATGAGCATAAACAAAACAAAACATACTTCAGGCGATACTTCATACTTCCCTTTTCCCCGGACTTCTTTTTACGAGGCTACGTTGCACCTGCGGAGTGTCCCTGCCAGGGAAGAAGAGGAAAGTAACGGATGGGAAATCAAGAAACAGACCATCCTTCATGCAACCATCCTTGCCATCCTTGCATGCATGGCTAGCTCGGAATATATATGGAATGGGTCCTTCTCACCAATCACTGCAGCTGGGTGTAGGAGAAAACGAGATACAGGTTTAATCCGATTGGTTACAGGGCGTCTTTCCTTTCACTTAGATCTATATTTGATGGTACCAGCACGAGCTTGAAACGGCTTGTATCCCTCCAGATGATGCCGTGTCAATGCAGCCATCTCACCATGCTAAGGGTGGGTGGACTGCCTTCTGATGGTGGTCTGATAATACAGTTCACCCCCCGTTGGATAATATAGTTTTGCGGGACTCTCTGTCGTCGTTGCGACCGTCGACTTTGACATACAAAACTTGCATTTGATACATAGCCATCTATACATTTGATCTATACCGTTTCTACTTCGTCAATATTCCATAAAGATTGTTGATATTTCTTCGGACGTGAGATAAGATAGTGGCACGTGATCGCCTGTCAGATAAAGTCACGTGTTTATGATAATCTAAAAAAGGTTTGAAGCTTCAAGATGAGTCGAAGAGGGGAAGATTTGGACGCACTTTTTTTTACCACACAATATTTCTTTTTATCTTGCTCCCTGCGGCGCATATTATCTACTCATGGGACGCAGAATACGATAGCAAGTGGGAATTCATATCCACTGGCTTATTTGCGAGAAATTAAAAAGGGGCTAGGGCTGTTGGTTTGCCTTCAAAATGATGACTACAGATGCCCTGCCTGTTGATCCGGGCAAGGCTCAGGTCATAGACCGGGTGCCCAAGGTTATCAAGGAGATCAATTTTGGCGTCCTGTAAGCAGCTTTCTATACCCGAGATTTTCTGGTGAGATAAACTAATCAATGTTCGGCATAGTTCAAATCAAGATATCATCAGCCAGGCGCACGTTGAAATCTCGGACAGAAAGCTTTTCGACCTCGATAACAACCGCGCGGTAGCTCGAAATGGCCCCATGGACCCTCGTCTTGGTATATCCAATAAGTCAGATACTTGCGAAACTTGTGGTGGTGATTTACAAGAATGCAATGGGCATTTCGGATACGTTCGACTCGTCTTGCCTGCCTTCCATGTCGGATACTTTAAGCGCACTATCGAAATATTGCAGGATATCTGCAAGGTAAGGAGTTGGGCATGTTCATGAGATGGGTTACTTTGTGGAGTTGCTGACTTTTTTTTTTTTTTACAATTGGGTGGATTAGGATTGCTCTAAGATTTTATTGCCGGAGGATGAGAGACGGTCATATTTGAAGGAGTTACGGCGACCTGGGCTGGATAACTTAAGACGTATGCAGATAAATAAACGCATCAACGTTAGATGCCGAAAGACGCCTGTGTGCTACTACTGCAATGCAATCAATGGCACTGTCAAGAAAGCTAGTACTGGCGCGTTAAAGATTGTACACGACAAATTCCGGGCGTTCAATGCTTCGTTGTCGGCTAAGAAAATTCCTCCTCCAAGCAAGCTTGCCTTTGATCGATCCTTCGAAGAAGCAAAAAAATCTAATCCGGATATCGAGAAGCACTACAGGCGGGTATTTGATGACCTAAACCCACTTCGAGTGCTCAAGCTGTTCCGCCGGATCTCAGATGAAGATTGTGAGCTACTTAGCTTAAACGTCGATGAGGCACGGCCGGAATACTTTCTTTGGCAGTTCATACCTGCTCCCCCTGTTCCTATTCGACCATCCGTGGGCCAGGAGGGAGCTAGTACGGAGGATGATCTTACTGCGAAACTGGGGGATATCGTTCAGAGTAATCTGAACTTAAAAATGGCGCTGGATAAAGGTGCCCCCGTTCAGACGATTATTGAATGTTGGGATTATATGCAGCTTCAGATTGCGGTATATATTAACAGTGATATTCCAGGACTACAAAATACGGATTCCAAAAAGTCTATTCGAGGACTGTGCCAGAGATTAAAGGGGAAACAAGGAAGATTCCGAGGAAATCTGTCGGGAAAGCGTGTTGATTTTTCGGGACGAACTGTCATTTCACCGGACCCTAACCTGCGAATTGACGAAGTTGCTGTTCCACAGCTGGTGGCGATGAACATGACATATCCAGAACGGGTAACAAGATATAACAAGGAAAAGCTACGCCAGTGTGTTCGAAATGGCACGAAAACCTGGCCAGGCGCAAATTACCTGATAAAACAAGGCAACTCGTTCAGGCTCTTTTTGAAATACGGTAATCTGAACATGATAGCGAATCAGCTTAGCGAAGGGGACATAGTTGAGAGGCACTTAGAGGACGGGGATATTGTTCTTTTCAACCGTCAACCATCACTTCACAAGCTCAGTATCCTCTCCCACTTTGTCAAGGTCAGGCCGCACAGGACATTCCGGTTGAACGAGTGTGTTTGCAACCCATACAACGCTGATTTTGATGGCGATGAGATGAATTTGCACGTTCCCCAGACGGAAGAAGCAAGGTCTGAAGCGATGGAGCTTATGGGAGTTAAGAACAATTTGGCTACACCAAAGAACGGAGCGCCAATTATTGCTGCTATCCAGGATTTTATCACCGCAGCCTATCTTCTCAGCAGTAAGGATAATTTCTTTGACAGAAAAACCTTCACTCAAATATGTTTATCTATGCTTGACTCTAGCACCCGGCTTGAGCTCCCACCACCAGCAACACTGAAGCCACAGATGCTCTGGACCGGCAAACAGGTGTTCAGTGTTCTCATGAGGCCAAATAAAGACAGTCCCGTCAAGGTCAACCTTGACGCAGCATGTCGTCAATTCAAGCGTGTCAAGGATCAGCCTAGGGATCTATGCGAGAATGACGGGTGGCTCTGTATTCGCAACTCGGAAATGTTATGCGGCGTTGCAGACAAATCAACAATCGGAGATGGAAGAAAAGATAACATCTTCTTCGTTATCCAAAGGGATTTCGGTCCCGCTGCAGCGGCAGAAGCGATGAATAGGTTATCAAAACTTTCCGCTAGGTGGTTGACAAACAAAGGCTTCTCCATCGGTATAACGGATGTGTACCCCGGCACCGGCCTTGTTAAGCTTAAGGACACACTAATTGACAATGCCTTCAAGCAGTGCGACGATCTGATCATTAAAGCTAGCAAGGAGAAGCCCCAAAAGGGTAAATCTGACAGTCGACAAACGGCAGAGAACGAAATCACCGGTATTCTTAACAAACTCCGACAACAGGCTGGTGAATACTGTATTTCCGAACTTAGCAAGCATAACGCGCCCCTAATCATGGCAAAATGCGGCTCAAAGGGATCCGACATTAACGTATCTCAGATGGTAGCTGTCGTCGGACAACAATCCATTGAAAATTCCCGTGTCTCCAAAGGTTTCCAAGATCGAACCCTACCTCATTTCCCTCGGCATTCCCAGCATGCTCTCGCAAAGGGTTTTGTGCGAAATAGTTTTTTTTCCGGACTCACTCCTACAGAATTTCTCTTCCACGCAATGTCTGGTCGGGAAGGTCTAATTGATACCGCCGTCAAGACTGCAGAGACAGGTTACATGTCTCGAAGACTTATGAAATCTCTTGAAGACCTGTCTACTCGGTATGATAATACAGTTCGAGACTCGTCTTCCTTCGTCATCCAGTTCCAGTATGGAGACGATCAACTGGATCCTGTCAACATGGAAGCTTCCGCTAAGCCTGTCCATTTCGAACGTACCTTTACACATGCTGAGAGTACTACATATGACAGGAATGACAGAGGCCTCTCCGCAGACGAGATAATGGCTCTATGTGAGGAGCTCCTAGCTCCTGAGCGTAAGAAGTTAGCTCGGTTCGATTTACTAGGGAATACCCTCCCTTATACTGCTGAAAATGATTTTGCTACCGACCAGTGGGAAAGCAATCGTGACTTCTTGAGTTCGATTGAAGAGTTCGTAGCAAATAAGGCTGAACAACTTAGATCTATTGATGGGGAAGAAAGCAAGGGGCAGATGGCATTTACACACACTGGCAAACTGTCCGCCAGAACACTGAAAGCTTTCATTGCCTCATGTTTAGATAAATATATGCGTGCTCACGTTGAGCCTGGCCACAGTATAGGAGCCATTGGTGCACAGTCCATTGGCGAACCCGGCACCCAGATGACGCTGAAAACTTTCCATTTCGCTGGTGTCGCTGGTATGAGTATCACTCAGGGTGTACCGCGCATTAAGGAAATCATCAATGCATCAAAGGAAATTAGTACACCGATTATCACTTGTGAGCTTACGAACAAGACGGACATGCGTGCAGCTGAGATCGTCAAAGGCCGCATTGAGAAGCTTTTCCTCAAGGATATCGTCTACTACATTGAAGAGATCCGTTCTGAGTCTACCTCGTTTATCAAAATCAAGGTTGATTTCTCGACAATTGACAAACTGCAGCTCGAGATAACGTTACCTCAAATTCTCCTTGCTATCAAGAAGCACAAGGCGTTCAAGGCTGCTGATCTTAGATTCCAGACTTACCACTCGCATATCCATATCTATGTGGATGAAGGTGCCTCCATGGCAGGCGTTTCAGTCTCCGAACTCAAGATCACTGGTTCGGATCCGTATATTCGAATCAACTACCTGAGGCGAATTCTTCCTAACATCCAGGTTTTTGGCTATCCGGATTGCGCGCGAGCTGTCATCCGTGTCGGAGAAAAAGTTGCCACCAACATTCTCTTGGTCGAAGGATATGGCCTTCGAGCCTGCATGACCACTGATGGAGTTGATGGCCACCGTACCCGCACCAACCACATCATGGAAATGCGGGATGTGCTCGGCATTGAGGCGGCGCGTACGACTATCATCGACGAGATCAGCTCTGTCATGTCTGGCATGTCAATCGATCCTCGCCACATGCAGCTTCTTGCTGATGTTATGACATATAAAGGCGAGGTACTTGGAATTACCCGTTTCGGACTGGCCAAAATCCGCGACTCGGTCCTTCAGCTGGCCAGTTTCGAAAAGACTGCGGATCATCTCTTTGATGCCGGTGGTGCGGGCAGACGCGATGCTGTGCAGGGAGTGTCGGAATGTATCATTATGGGTAAGACCATTTCACTGGGCACAGGTAGTATGGAAGTCGTTCGAGATCTGAAGCTTCTTGACAGCCATGTGGGCAAGAAGAAGACGGTGTTCGATGACGCCTGGAAAGATATCTGTGAGCCGAGGCAGAGAAGGCGGGCTCTTCCCCGTACGGCTATGGCTTGCTAGGCGGGAACTACCTCGCACGGACTTGGTTGTCATAGGAGGTCAAACGACTGTTCAGTTTCAGATGGTTCACCAAAACGTCTAGAATCAGATGTATCCATCGGATATGGACGCTCAGTTCTTGGACGATTATTCCGCCGTTTCAAAACACGCTATAGAGGCAAAGCAGCTCCCTCTGCCATTCTGACTTGTCTCCTCTGTCGACGCGGCCCCATCTAGATCTGTCCTGGAAGCCAGACTGGCTGAACCCATCCGTTACAGAGCTAAAAAAAAAAAAAAAACACTAACCCTGAGCAAGCTGGGCCTGACAGGGATACCTTGCAGCTTGTTATCCAAAAACGTTCTGCCCCCGAAAGATATACCGGTCGCACAGCAAGGCCCGAACCTGTCATTCCATGTCAGACAGACCGCTTTTATCTTTCCTTCTCCTGTACGATGAGAATATTTTTGATTTTTTTTTTTTGCATTTAGCCCAAAAACCGCTTTCATGTCTATCTGTTTTAGCGTCTGCATGTATATATCATATGTACTATTTCTTTTTCTTTTTTTTTTTGGAATGAATAACTATCCTGGATGGGGAAAGTTGGATTCTCAAGTCGCCTGTGCTCCGATCCGCCATCGTTCCATCCGTCTATCCTCGCTCTGGAGCCATGTCTCCAACAACCAACCAACCGTCTTATCGGCCATACTCGCTGTACATATACACTGTATAAGCACTCTCTTCCCAGGATCAACACTCGTTGCTTTCAGATCATCGCTGACTCAGCGACCATCGCTCAAGAACTTGCCTCCTTATTGAAAAGTGAATCCTGCATCGAGGTACATATACATATCTCCAGCAGAGGCGACGACAAACAACTCATCAGCATACAGCTGACCCATAAACAACTTGGGTGGAAACGGAAGTGCCATTTTGCTGTGGCGTCTGCAGGAGCCAGGGGGGCTTGCTGTGGAAGAGGGAGCGTGTCCTGCATATTATGCACTCCCTAAAAAGTAACTAACTGGCGCCCTTTGCCCATGGTCCATTCGGCGTCGATCTGGCCCACAGCCAAGCTGGCCTGCCTCCTCGCCTCCTTTCTACGCATAGGGAGCAAAAAGTACTTCAACTCCTGTATCTGCATCTCTTCCCCCCCTTCCGGTGACCGTTCTCGTCACTCTCCTTGTGTTAATTCACTCCTTGTTTCTTCTCACGCAGTTCTTGGTTCTTTCACTGTTCCTTTTTTCGTTGTTTCGTTCTTCCCCCTGCATAGAAAGCTCTGCTTTCATTTTTGGTTTCACAGCGGCTGTTTCGAGAGCTTCCCTGACCCCGAACCCGATCTCGAATTCGATCACTTGTCCGTTTACTCCTATCCGCAGAGCCGCCACTATAGATCGCCAGTATATATTAGACCCCTGACGCTTGCAAATTCCGGAGATATTTAAAAAAGAAATAAAATCTTCCGTGGTTCGTTCGGATAGATAGTTTCTTGCAAATGAAGGATTAAACGAGATTGTTTGATTATCTTGAACCCTTGCCGAAGGATCATGCAGTTTCTATGGCTATGTCTTCTCTCAGCTGTCACCTTACTATCTACGGGACGCTGGCGTTCTATCCCATCAAGTTGCCC